TTAGTAATTAATAAACAAGATTTATAATAATATCTCATATTGTTTGCTTTTTATCGCAAATCGCTGAAGGGATAATAATGAAATTCAGTGTAAAGGACAGCTACTACAGAATAGTAGTTGTAATTCGTCTAATTGTAGATGATTCATAGTTTTTAACAAACCCAAAAAAATATATAATTTTCTTTTAATGATTATTGAAATTCAAATGAACAAAGATTGTACAAATTTTAATTACAATGTTAAAGACTTATATAACTTACAAAAAGTCTAGCTTTTTGTAAGTTATATAAGTTTAAAAAGATAATTATTTGGCTGCCAATGATTGCTCTTAAAGTCTTAACGGACACTTATCTAAGCACACATGTTTAAGGAAGTTTTTATCAAAATGTATATTGATTGTCGTTAAGTGGGTTTGAGAAGTGTCAGAGGGGATTTGATAAGGATGAACGAGGAAGCGTAGAGGGGTAGTTAGATAAATATTTAGGTATTTTTAAAACGTATAAAATTGAATTGACACTGTCAGTCATACAGTAATGGAAATTAAGACTATTTTTGCTTGAAGAAGCAAGCTGATTATTTTAGTGTTGTAATTATGGATACTAGATTTTTGTTGTGGTTGCTTGGAGCTTACGAACCTAACAGATGGGCTGGCATCATCGCTTTGCGATTAAAGCCCTTTATCAATAAAGTTAAAAAAAAACCTAACAGGTACCAATGTAACTTTTTCTAGAATTTACCTCAAAAAATTCTTTCGACTTTACTGAAATACAGTGAAGGGAAAAATCGTTAGGAAACCTGGCACTATAATAAGTTTTTATTCGCCAATCCGCCTTAAGCAAGCGTGGCCATTCAATCGATCCTGGTAATTCGAGACATAAAAGTAAGACAATCGGTGCGCAAACGCTCATTTGTGTATTAAGACTCATTCAAGAGATGGGTACTTATGGGCTGGTAGTAAGTGTGATGTAAAATATCTCAGTTAAGCAATTGGACCTATTCTAAAGAACTTCGTTTCAAATTATTAATACAAGCTTGAACGGTTGACTCACCAAAGATTATCAGCATTTACCATCATCCACGTTGTATGCAAAACACAATTTGACTACGACATTTTTCAAAGGTTTTTTTTTTAATGTAGATAAGTAATATAATAAAACACGAAGATTTATATTTGTATATCTTTTGGACATTGCGGTCAGATAATGGCGCCTCGTCCATAGAATATAAATAGCCAATTTACCTCGTAAGAAGGTTTGCCCAACTTTGTGTATTGTCCATTGCACGCACACATAGACACAGATTCTGCATTCGATGATTAAAAGGAACTAAGGAGTATTGGTTGTGTGGTAAGAGCTGAATATATGTGTAACACTAGCATCTAAAAGAGAACCCGGATAATACAAGTAGTCTATGTGTTATTCTAGACTATAATCTATGGGAATAGTGCGTTAATATATCGCGGCCCCAGCTCTAATCGGGAGAAGGAACGGAGTGATTTTTAGTCAGTAAGGCTCTTCATCTCTTTCCACCCAAGGTACCTAGTTAAAGTCACACGATGATTGTTCCCAAAAAAAAACCACTATAAAACACCAGACACACATTATTTAGACACCACTGGACTGGACATATGACGAAGGAAAAGATCGTGAGGAAACCTGAACTTATATGTAATTTCTAATTATAAGTTTGAAATGGCCGCTTTGAGCAAGCGTGGTCATTAACGCTCAAACCTTCTCCGTGTGAGAAGAGGCCTTTGCGCAACATACATATAGGCTGATGATGTACAACGTGTGTACGTTTTGAGAGTTAAAATCCACTATGCGCAAGCGCCTACGATGTGTCGCAAACAAATCACGGTCCGCGTTCTCACGAAGTCAAAGCGGAATTAACATAAAATTAAAATTTACCACTACATAAGTATATTTCTTTTGAATATTGAAGAGACATTTGATGTATTAGAGTGTGCATTTAACATACAAAACGGCTTCTTGTTTGAATAAATCCCGCTAGTGTTTGAACTCTGATCTTTTTCAATTTACAAGCAGTCGAGAATTTTATAATCTTGTATTATTTTCTTTATGTTTACCGCTTTAAAGTTTACAATGCAATGCACTTTCATAAAAGTGGGTAAATCGCTTGAAGTAGATTGAATGGTTTCGTTTTTATGATCTTGTATAGTTATGTTAACATTGAAGGCGACAGGTAAAGCTGAAAATGTTAGAATAATACGGTTATAATCTGAGATTATATTTTGACGAGTAAATTGAATTTTTAAGATAGTCGGATTAAATGTGATAGTTTCAGAATGTGGAAGTTAGTGTGTAGTGCCCACCCACGGGAATTAGAATTTAGACATTTTTGTCACATACTTTTTTTTTTTTTTAATGCGAGGACGTTTAGTGGCTAATAATTCTATTCTGACTTAGATAAATCTTAGAGCATTTGAAAAATAAACATAAGCACAGCTAAAGCAATGCTGATGGCTTGCACAAATGTTTCTAGCATTAAGTCCTTTAATATGCAAATGTATATAAAGAAAAATATAAATAAAGCCTATAATTTTTCCTCTTTATATTTCAATTTATTGACGAGGATATTAATAAGTAATATACTTCCATTTCCGTTCGCGGATTCTTCCGCGTGATGGATAGAAAGTATCCTACATGTTATTCCAGGGTATCACCTATATACATACCAAATTACAACGAAATCGTATATCGTTACCTAAACAACAAACATACATGCATACATTCTCACAAACGTTCACAATAATAATATTAGTAGGAGTTGGGTAAATTAGTAATAATTTTACAACGCATCATAATAATTGTCACATCACTATAAAATTTCAACGCCTTCAATTCGTTGCCCTGGAGCTGCATTCTGGAGGCACTCCGGTATCACCGGGTGCCTGCCTATCTCCGTCGTGTAGTCGAGGCTTACTTGACGGACAGATGCGTCATCTACCCCGGTCACCGGGGCGTGTGGAATCGGCGAGAGGTGTCGCGCGGTGTTCCACAGGGATCGGTCCTGGGACCTCTCCTGTGGAACATCGGGTACGATTGGGTGCTACGCACCGACCTCCCGAGCGGCGTCAGCATTGTTTGTTATGCTGACGACACGCTGGTGCTGGCGAATGGGAGGTCACATCAGGCGGCGGCCGACCTGATGTCGCAAGCGGTCGCGACAGTCGTTGCAAGGATCCGGCAGTTGGGACTCGAGGTGGCGCTTCACAAATCCGAGGCCATGTGTTTTTATGGCCGTCGGAACGCGCCACCTCCAGATGGGTCCCAAATAATGGCAGGAGGAGTTACCATCGGCGTCGAGTCGGCGATGAAGTACCTGGGTCTCGTCCTCGACAGCCGATGGAATTTCACGGAGCATTTTCGTCGTTTGGCTCCTAAGTTGGAACGGTCTGGGGCCGCGCTCAAGCGGCTCCTTCCCAACCTCGGGGGGCCAAACGCCTCCTGCCGGAGGTTGTACATGGGGATTGTGCGATCCATGGCCCTCTACGGTGCCCCTGTGTGGGCGCCGGATTTGAAGCGGCGGCCGGCTCGTACGCTGGCCGCGTCCCAGAGGGTCATGGCTATCCGAATAATCCGCGGATATCGCACAATCTCCGGGGAGGCGGCGAACCTCCTTGCCGGATCACCGCCATGGGATCTGGAAGCGAAGGCGCTCGCGCGCGTCTACAGTTTGCGCGCAGACGCGCGTCGCCGGGGCGAGGATCCTCTGCCGCGCCAAATTAGTGCGTGGCGGAATGAGCTCCGGCGAGATCTCATGGCTGAGTGGAAGCAGCGACTGTCGCAACCGAGGGCCGGGCACGCTACTATAGCAGCGGTAAGACCCCTCTTTGAGGAGTGGCTTGAGAGACGCCACGGCGTCCTCACCTTCCGCCTGACGCAGGTGCTTACCGGGCACGGCAGCTTTGGTAGGTTCCTGTTTCGGATCCAGCGGGAGGAAACGCCCGAGTGTCGTCATTGTGAGGATCACCTGGAGGACACGGTGGAGCATACGGTGGCGGAGTGCCCTGCTTGGGCTGAGCACCGCCGTGTTCTCAGGGAAGTGATCGGCGGCAGCGACCTCTCGCGCCCGGCCTTAATCGAGGCCATGGTGCAGCGTGAGAGGAACTGGGAAGCTATCTCCTCCTTCTGCGAAGCAGTAATGCTCGCAAAGGAGGAGGCGGAGCGCGTGAGGGAACTATCCTCCTCGCGCCCCAGCCGCCGCAGAAGGCGACATTCCGTACGTCGGGGATCGAGGGATGATCTCCGGCCACCGTAAGCGCGGGTCTGCGGACGGCGAGTAAGGGTAGCTCGCCGCCCGACCAGAACTCTGCCGTCGTAATCGTAAATGCAGTACTTGCAATTTCGCGGTTTCGAGAAAAACGCGGTTAAATGATTTCTTGTTATCTCTAGTCGTCTGGAAATCAAATGTATTTAAATTTGTAACTAATACGTATATTTTATTACTATGCATTATATATTTTAATTTCAAATATTTAATTTTGGTTTAGGTTATTTATAAAGTTGACTACTGCATTTCAACCTTGTGTTACTAATGGATATTATAGTCTATCACAAAGTGAAATGCAGTATTTGTGCTTATTACTGCATTCATGTCTAGCAAATACTTTTTACTGCATTTTGTGTTAGTAAAAGGAATAGTAAAGTCAAAATAAATACTATTATATACATGCAGTACAAAATATTTTAGACCCTTGAATTTAGGATAGTGTGTAAAAATAAAAAAAATAAAATTCGAATACTTTTATTTAGAGACCTTCACAAGGTCTAGTAGGCTTTTAATCATATAAACTTATAAAACAATCAACATTCATATAATCAACGTTATGCTTCAAACGGGACTGCTGCTCCCGATTACAAACAAAAACAAATAGGGATCTCAGCTCCCACCTAAAAACTAAAACAATAAAGAACTTAGAGCTAATAATGGCACTTTGTAAGTCTTAAAATGTATTAATTTAAATGCAAGTTCAGTCTTTACTCATCACAATCATCTACATCTAAAATATTAACTAGATCAATTGAATTGTCATTGGTATGCAAGTTTTGCCAAAATGGTAGTCTATTTTCTGGAATAACTCTAGTGAGCGTTGAAATAATTGCAGATTTTCTAGCTTCAGTGATACCCCTAGGACTTGAATTTTGTATGGGATCGGGAATTGAATGAGACTTTATGTGTTTCATTTTTAGGAACCCTATTTCTCGGAGTTCACCATCATGTTCGGTCTTTACAAATAAATTAAAATTATTCCTACGCACCTCGACACTAACAATATCTTTCAAATATATCCGATTTGTGCTCTTTTTCAATTTATGCTGCGATGAATGATCAATATACTTGTAAAAATCAGTAACTTCCATAGGTTTCACTGTTACTTTTCCGGAATTAGCTAACTGAATGCAATCAATGAAGTCTGAGAAATCATAAACTTTTTTTGCTCTTTTTAATTGTTGTTCAACCTGGTGGTGAAAGTTATCGGCTGACATAAAAGTATGTCCTGATTCAAGATATTTAATGGTAATCGTGTTGGCACATATCAAAGAGCTGTTAATTATCTGAATAAGAAATGAGAAAAATGCCCAATTCTTATTCTGGCTGGAACAGTTGTCGGCCCATACTACTATGTCAGTACTGTCGCGTTTGCAGATGAAAAACGCTCTAAAAGCACTTATTATATCTTCTTGTTTTCGTCCTGATATGGCTTCATGCCATATTGCGGCGAATGGCTGAGAGGTTGACTTAGTAGGCCCCAAAGGTACAAAACTCTCGTTGAAAGCTATTATTCTGGGACAAAAAATAGCAGCTTTAAACATATCAATACGTGGCAACATGATGACTTTTTGCAAGTCTGCTGAATAAAAAGCTTTTTCTGTGAATTTGGTCGATAAATCAACATCTTCTTGATAACATTTCCGTGCCTTCTCGTATTTTTGCTTGTGTAGTTTATATGATATACAGGTATCACAGGATGCGGAATCTTGACATGTGGGCTGGTGTAACTTAAAACTTTCACAGTCCTCGCATTCTTCATTGCCCAAAAGAGTAAAAGAAATATTCATGTCCTTTTTTAAAAAATGTCTGTATAATTCATAAGAAACCTTGATATCAGGGAATTTGTCTTGGAAGTCTTTAAACATTAAAGTCGCATTTAGATCACTAGGTAAGTATCGTTTGTTTGGTGCATGTTTTCTCCGATAATGTGCGATAGCAGGCCTAAAGCTTTCAATATGCTCTTTTAATTGATTTCTATCTATCTTCTCTTTGTGCTCTCTTTTCCCACGTTTGTCAGTTTGAGCATTCCATGGTTTTTTTATAGCATCTAATATTCGCCGGTCATTTTTTTTATTATAACCCAAAGTAGTCAAAAAGAATATTTTGCACACTTCAAATTTTTCGTTCGCTTTCTCCAAAAAATATTTGAACGTATTATTACGAGATAAGGTACTAATTTGTAAGCGTCTGTTAACGAGTTGTTTCTTTATTAATGACTGAATATAATATCCTTGACTTTCGTAATTAAGTCCCCAAAACTGTTGGTTAATATTCATACGGTCTGACTCTGAAAATTTCTCTCCACATTTTTTTTTGCAAGATGTAGTGCATGCTGGTTTAACACAGAACTTTTCAATTTTTTTTTGTTTTTTTGCTTCTTTTCTAGTGTTTGTAGATTCTGTATACAGTTTCCTAATTCTTGGTGTTCCTTTTTTTGTTGTGCCCTTTAAAGCATCACACACTAATCTGTTTGCGGCTTCATTATCTTCATTTTGCATAACTGAATCAGTTACTAGAATTTGATTATTCGATGTTGTTGGTGCATTATCTACGTCCGGACAGCTTTCGTTACTTCTCTGGTTTTCGATCTCTTGAAGACCTTGCGAGGTGGTAGGTTCATCTTCTGTGCCAAAATCAGCAACTGGACTGCCCATAAGAGAATGTGTCAGTGTCTCATTACACAACAAACCAAAGCTTTCATCTTTGGAAAAAGAATAATCTGAAACTCGTATATCTCCCAATGCAGCTGATGACAAGTTTAATGAGAAATCTGCATTAACCACGTCCTGTGATGAAGCGATATCCTGACGATCCGTAAAAATTTCATCCTCAGATTTTTTAGTATCCTCAGGTTCGATTTCAATAGTTAACGTACTTGTGCTCAGCTCAGTATTCCGCACAGAATTATCGTGGCAGACGTCAGTGTTTACTACCATATGTACTAATTTTCTAGCTCGGAAGTTGTTCGAAGCCATTTTACCTACGAAGAAACACAGTGGTCATTAAATTTATTCTAGCAAAAGAAGAACAAACGACATGTCAAAATTACGGACATTAAAGTAATAATAACGTCCTTTTTTCGGTCAACAAAGACTAAAGCTAATATACGCAGGATATGTTATAATGCACATGCACAAGTATTTGCGTAAACACAGGGGCACTCTAAATATTCCTTCAATCTCATAACCTCCACGAACGGTAATCCTACATAAGTACCTACCATACGATACGGACATTAACAAATCAATCAGTGAAAATTTTACAATGTTGTGAATATATTAACTACGATCTATCCGTTACTACGCGCCAAACCCAATTTTAAGAATTACCCATTAATATTGAACAATATCGATTATAAATATAATAAAGTCTAAATAATTTATTTTATGCGATATATTCTAATTGATAGAATCAAAACTGTTTTATGATGACAATTACTCACGAAACAATATCGATATTAGCCGCTCTCTAATCAATCAATAGACACAATACGCAAGGATAACGTCCTTATTATATATTGAAAGCTTAAAATATACAATTTTACTTTAATTAGCCAGTTCTTTAAAAAAATACATATAAATATACATAAATTGTAATTATACATAACTGTACTTACCAAGTAAAACGATAACAAGCCAATTGAGATCTGCAAATGCTGCGCCGCACGAGCGTGCGTCGAGTGCGCGTGACGATCACCGACTGAGGTACAAAGTTAACATGCAGTATGCGCAGTTAAAACACGTCGAAACTTGCACAGCGTCATCAATCGCACAACACTCAAATGCAGCGTAAGCATTTACTGCATTTGAGCTAAGGAAAGTCTAAACTAATACTACGTTTATTCCTATGATAAAAACATTACTGCATTTTAAATTAGTATTTCGAGTATTATTACTGCATTTTATCCTAGTTCATGTTCATTACTGCATTTATATTAACAAGTAGCGAACAAATTCATGCAAATACTGCATTATTAACTAGTTTTTCATTGATTTCTAAGTATTTTTTTCATTTATTTTTTTACTCAATAGTAAGATACGTGTCTTAAAACGTCATTTCGATAAAAATATCAATTTTGCAAAAATGTCGATTACTGCATTCTTCATTACGACGGCAGAACTGGACCCGAGCGTACGGCGCGTAGCGTTCCGCGCGCGCCTCAAAGAGCCAATAGACCACCACAGTCGGGGCCCTAAAGGGCTGATGTTTAGCCGGGGCTGCGGGGTAAGCGCAATGAGGCACCGCGACCTCGGCCCAGAGCAGGAGAAGGAACGGGGGGGTTTTTAGTCAGTAAGAGTCTGACACTCTCTCTCGCCTTACCCTGGGCGGGAGAAGTCATTGGATGATTTTCCCCTGACAAAAAAAAAAAAAAAAAAAACTATAAAATTTCGCTTAATATCGACACAAAATTAATCTTCAATCTCCAATATGTATAAAGATACCGGAGTTCTCACGGGAAAGAAGATATAGCATCGATTTGTAGATTGAAGAATTTCATCAATTTGAATAATTCCGAAAATTGGTCGTCTCCCCGTCTGCGAGTTTTGTTTTGCCGATTATAAACCTATTTGTTGAAATTAAATGATTGGGAGGCCAATTAGTTTGGCGCAGATAAAAAAAATGTATTGGAATTTTAGCAGACGTGTTTTGTTGGTCTAGCAGAAGAACTATGATTCACCCATCAATAAACACTATAGTTAAATTTATTAATTGTTTGAATAAGATACGTTTTACGTGCCCAAGATTATAATACGGATTTTAAATCATCCAAGAATATCATAGACGTCTGACCTTTGACGGGATTATGACTTGTAACAAAATAGTGCCAAGTACCTGAACATTTACGATGTAAACGCGCATTTATATATATGTATAGAATCCAAGTACCTACCTATTTATGTTTATTTTGTCTTATGCCTGGTAATATTTTTACGCAAAAGCTACCGAATGATCTTTTTTAACGTTCACACTGGTATTTTCACAATTGTCGTGAGTACAATTTTACATAATATACATCACACCTAGACCCGGAACAACAATTTGTAGTTTACATAAAGAGTTGTTCCGTGCGGGAATTAAAACTGCGACACATTGAGCGAGCCAGTTACCCAGACATCGCGCCATCTTAAGGCAGAGAGACATATGCATAACAAATAGGCCACTTTTGATCCGCTAAAGCTGCTGACAGAAGCTACTACATCTGTGGGAGTGTCGCTCGCTATATAACCAATGTAGTAGTTAAATAGTGACGCAAGAAGTTATGACGTTGCCGTAACGGTGCTGCACCCATTGTAATGTGAACCTCGCAATCGACGTTAAATTTCTTGTACACATAGTTACCTAAGTATATTATAACATAACAACACAGTATCACGCGATTTCCTAGGAAAATGAAGGATGTGGCATAAACACTTATTTAGTTTTCACATGACAGAGAAAGAAAGGTCAAAAAAAAGTCAGGTCTCGGCCTAGAGCAGGAGAAGGAACGGGGGGTTTTAGACAGTAAGAGTCTGACACTCCCGCCAAATGAGTTTCTTTCTTTCTTTCTTCATAAAAAGTTATAGCTACGAATGATACTCAAGTCATACAAATAGAAGATTAAAGATTGTAAGGGAAAAGAGACCATAAAAAATTTAGAACAAAGTTTAAATTTAATAAAGAAAAACAGGAGCCACGCCCTGTCCCCATCCTTTTAAAACAAACAAGAAAAACAAATGACCATTCACTAAAACAAACTCTCAAAGATAATTAGCACATAATTGCAAATTCATAGGCACGACCTCCAGCTAAACTAACAGTGCAACTATGAATATGGATTCGTAAGGAAAACCCGTACTTTGTCTCCTGTCAAGCGATCACTCAACATGTCTGCCACGTCTGCTTACATAAATAAGGATTTAAGATCTATTCGCATATCTTCTAAAGACAACAGCAAAGAAGACATTTGTACGCCATTATTATTAGGAGAGAAAATCATGTGTCATCGAGTTGGGAGAGCCACGCTTCGTCACGAATGGGTTCGGTTCGACCGGAGTGATTCCACGGCTTCATTGAAAACCTGGAACCACGACAGCGTTGTGTTTCGTCGTGTAAGTGATGTTACCGAAGGCCCAAACTCTTTTCTCCCCCTATACATACCCAATCCCTAAATCTCCACAACCCTTTTTCCTAAATAGGCAGCAACGCACTCGTAACTTCTCCGTTGTCGCGGGTGTCCATGGGCGGCGCTGATTGCTAACCATCAGGTAATCCGCATGATCGTTTGCCGTCCTGTCGATTTTGTCACCACTCCTGGTCTTTTCTACCTCTGTCACTAAGACAACGCACTTCCCTGTCGTCTCGTCTCTTTCAAAAGACTGGTCAGCAGAGCCTTCTGAATTCAGAATAATAAAATTTCGTATTTGACAACTAATTAAATACAATTCTTTTTTGGAATTTTCAAATTCGAACCGTCTTGTATTGAATGACTGCATGTGACACCATCTTTTTTGCGTCAAATAGCATAAATTTTTCCTAAAAATTTACTAACTAATAGGAAAATACGAATATAAAGTTGATTTATTGTTAATCTAAAGTGTAATTGTTTTTTCACATTAATAGTATTTGCATTGCTGCAAAATCTAAATACATAGTTTTGTCTTGGTCAATGTATACTGTGCCATCTTTATCTTAAGCTAGCAATTAAACTAGAGTCGCTAAGCTGATTAGAAATGGCGATTTTATATAATGTAATCCCCCCTCAAAACATCAGATGATATCTTTAACACCAGATGGGTCTAAAAGGGATATGTTAATAAAACCAATACAAGGATGTTCAGCGTGATATTTCGTGAAATACTTACTTTTACTTTACTTAAGGGAATAATATATTCAATTTTTTTTTTATTTTGCGTTATTTTGAAGAGGATTTAACTTTAAAGTTCGTAAAGTAACGTAAAATTATTTATCTGTCTCTGAACTCATTCCGAACATTTTGCAACGCTGCGGGCGCAAATTTTATTTTAGACAAGGTGATACCATTTTCACTATTTTTTTTGAACACATTGATCAACAATTAAAACAGTTTTATTTATAAAACAACTATAGTGCTTACTATCTACCGCAACATTATTCGCCCGCACAATCATAAACTAATTGAATCGTTATTCAATTTAAAAGAATAAATTTAACACTTTCTTCGCAATAGGAATATCATTACCATTATTTTCCATTCATTACACGCTTTTATAGTTACGCTGCTAACATAAAAACTAATAGAAATGTTAGTTATAAACACGATTCATTGTCGTTGTATAGCTATGGAATAGGACGAGAAACAACCAACTACCTGATGGTAAGCAATCAGCAAAGCATGTGGAAATCCTCAAAACTTCAGGAGTTTGATACTTAAAACAACCTAAGAGTTGCTTTACGGAGATTTTCGATGAGACCGTGGCATTACTCCGGTAGAGAGAAGTAATTACTAGGATAAATTCAAACAGCCTCCAAAGGTACAGTCGAGTAATGAGTGAAAAATAAATAAATAAACATAATCAACTATCAAGCCAATTAAGTTTTAATCTCTCGGCGCATCATGGCATGGACTGGTCGTTGCTTCATTATTTCTTTTTAATCAATACAATGTTTACTGCACATGTGAAAAGAAAGTTCGAGAACATATTTTAAGAGTACCTAATTAAGATGAAGTCGAATACTTTAGTAGTATGTTTTTTGACCAAGTATCCTTAATCGACCTAGTTAACACACACTAAATACAAAATGACATAACAAACAATTTAGCAGAAATTAATATGAATTCTATTACAGTAATAATACAAGACAAAATGTCGCTAAAAAAACGAAAAAAAAAAGACGTCCACAGATTTACAATAAAAGAAAGAACAAATGTACATATAATTAACTAATGTACCTAATTACATGAGAGCAAATATAAACTATCAACATTTTACGAAGAAACGTTATCTATACGAGGTAATGTAATGTCACATAGATATCCAAGTGTTAAACAATCGAGAGACGAAACAATAAATAAATAAGCATAAATTACGTATTTAGAGGTTGATAACAATATAATCTGTTGTGGCAATGCAAGTAGGAGAAACAAAGACCTAGTTGAGGCGACGTACAAAGAACCTGGATTGTTGACATGCAACTGACCCAACGAGATAATTCCACAGCCGATACCGATATCGACGATTACAATTACCGACGACAAAAAGATCACTCTAAGAACAAAGCCTAGACATTCCATACGTTTGACAATTACACAGAGTAATTCAAACTTTATCACTCAGTGATTGGGTGTGATTTCGTAGGAAATAGTATCGAACAGGCCGGGTCGGCGGCCGCGCAGCACTATCTAGCCTGACCCGCGCCTCAACCCCAGCAGAGTCACCCTTATCTTAACAAACGAGGACATCAAACCGACATCACTCACCAGCACTTTATATACACAATAAACAAGTCAAACGAGAATTAATTACCGATAAAATAAGCGAATATCAATTTGAATTCTATGGAAATCTTAACGAAGCGGACACGGCGATCGTTAGCGAAGATAATGGCAGAGATTGCCAAAAAGGAGCAAAAATTATTTAAAGTAAATAAAACTGGGCATGCGGCAGACAGAAACCGGTTAGGTGAACGCGGCCCGGGCCGATCCGAATAAGATAATCAACTGAGCGGGTAATTTCAGAGTATAAAAACAGAGTGGAGTCCGACATGCCTTCGCCGGTGTAATTAATAAACCGAGGTGAACATACCGTGCGCTACATAAAAAATATACGACGATTACTTAATGTTCTACTGTTGTTAAATAAACAAGCACTTATTGATAGAAATAATGTTCACGTTTTGCTTTTCTATGAATAGAAATGAGATAACAAGACGCTTTGATGTTGGTGGAAGACAGCTTTCCAATTATTAATAATTACCCAAGTGACGGAACAGTGTCATCTATTCAAACGAACAGATTCTGCAAATAGTTCTGTACCTACATATTCAATCAAATCTGTAATTGTGTCGTTATGTTCCATCTATGATCATGATGAAAGCGGCAGTCATTTCGAAACTGAAGACAAATTGATTGAAGATGCTTGTACGCAGCTAGAGAGCCCATACACTGGCATGATAAGCAGTATTGATGGATGACAATGCACCTCACATGATGACTAACAAAAGAATAATTAATTCCTCGATGAAATTCAAAAAGGTACGGCCGCGGCCGCCGTGTCTTGGGAAATGTATCGTAATGACTTTATAAGTAGATGTGAATATGTCAAGGGATAGGACTCAGGTTGTTGTTAATTGATCAAATGAATGAGATTTGTTTGTCAAAATAGGTAAAGGATAGATAGTAAATATTAATAGGGTAGTTTTGGTTACGATTGGAACTTTGATTTTGAAATTTTCCAAGGATAATTTGAATTTATTTTAGATGGTGGTAAGCGATCATGCGTCTTAGAAAGAAGCAAGCCGCCTACCCATAAGCAACCTACTCACACGGCCCTAGAAGACACCCAGGTATCCCTTTCACACCGGCAAAGAATCCCACTCCACAGCGGTTCTGCTGATGAAGCCTATCCACCATGAAAACACCCAGTCTCAGTCAGTATCCTTCCACTCCGGAAAAGAATCCCACTTCACAGCGGTTCTGATAAAGCCCATGAAAGGGTGACGTTTTGCCAGTTCTCTGGTGGTACTATGGTGGAAAGGATCAGGGCGAATGTTGTTGTGCAGTTGCTATGCGGTAACTAATAAAGCGTAAAGCTATTGAAAACAATTCTTATTAAAATACGAGAGCCAAGACAATTCAGATACAACTCAAGCAAAAGATAAGCCTAAGTGACAATGATTAAAGTAAAACATAAATAAATGCAAATAACAGTAGCAGCGGGTAACTATCTAGATCTTTGTCACAACACCGTAATGTAATTTTACACCGGTTTTAAGTTATCAAATAAATTTTAGTCACATTGCACGGGTGCGCTGCAGTAGCCAATTTGTTAATTCATGTATCTTTTTGTAAAGGGATGACATTTAAGCGATGGGCGGAATACTAATTAGAATCGCAATTAGAAATGATAAAATCTTCAGTCCTTCTTTAGGAATGTTGTTGGAACGCTCCTTTAGCCTTTTTATCGTCCACATCTTGTGTACCGTCAATATCGTCGGAGGAATCTCTGATTCAATTAACAATACAAGTAAAAAGTTATTTTATTTTAAACATTTCGTAGAATTTAAGATAATTAGTTTCGAATCTTGTTAATATGACTATGATAAGTTTGTTTTATGAACCTGACCACCGATGGGTCATCGGTATCATTGTCCAAAACACGGTTATCAAAAGTGACAAGGCTACCGAATACGCACGCAGATTATGATTTTAAAAAAGTCTAGAATTTTCCATTGTGATCTTTTAAAAATATAAATGATCTAACACTCAACGTATATTGTCTCTTTTCAGGAAAGAAAGTGCAAAAATAAATAAATCTATACTTATTTTATGCGTAATACTGATAGACTTGAAGATGTAGATAATGGTAATGCGATATAGCTTTCAAAATATTGCGAAATCAATGAAGAGAAATGTTGATAAAAAGACAACAAAGCCACGCACAATAGAACTGGAAGCAGCTAAATAAACAAAGAGATGGTTGTTTCTGATGAGCTTAAAGCGGACAGGTGGGAAGTGAGTGACCAACGATTATAAAATATAAGTGGATTATGTGCGAAGAATTCTACATGCAACTCCATAAACGTAAATAAAATTCACAATCTACACCTTTGGAATTCGTCTTTGAAATTAATATTATTTAATAGTAAATATTTGGAACTGAAGACGCTGTGATCAATTTAAAAAAGTGTCATACTACGAAGCAAACTGCATTATTCTTTTGATTTTATTCCTGTTCTGCCTTCTCGTAAATGGTTCGTTACATATAAATAAATATGAAATACTTACGTATCAGCCAGATGATGGAGGCATCCGTGCCTTGCGTGGTGCGTGCGTCTGGGCAGCTCGCTGTAGCATCCCCCGCTGCGCGCAGACCGGCACATGTACCCCGTACCCACGCATTGAGCAGTATTGCAGTAACATCTCACTCCTGCGTCACCGTCATTTGAATCTGTAACAAAAAACATGGTACATTAACTACAGATCAATTCGCAATAAGAAAAACTGAAATAAATTCCAGTGGTCTTTTTAAAGAACTAGAAAATTGAAAGGATGTTAACGAAAATTTAAGTACCAACGTAAAGACAAAACAACCTTGTGCACAAGTTGAAAATATATTAAGTGTAAACCGATAAATTGAAACAGGAAACGGTTATTGCAAATGCAAAAGGAAATGCATTATATGCAGTGTATCCAATCACAAGTATCGACGCCGTGGCGCCTTGTGGTGTCGTAAACTTTGATGGCGGTCGATTCGCCGTGCCTACGTCCTTACCTATAAATTCCTACATTTTAGCTTCGTGAACCCATTTATCTGTCTTTCAAATTTCTAAGTACCTAGTTAACGTTGGTTCAAGAAAGAACTCTAAAAAATATCCGACTACTGTATTCCTGAAACAACATCTAGCGGTGAATCACACAAGTGTTTTCGAATAGAAAAACTTCCCTTTCATCTCCTAAATGGTAACCCATCGACGACAAGACGATGAACCGGTAAAAATAAAATACAGCTGGTTCGTGGCGCGTATCGTGTATGAATAATGCGCATGTCATACTCCGCGGGCCCCTACATAAATATCCTCACAAACGGCCAGCCTCCGACCACATTCAATGTAAATGCTTCGGCTCCAGACGATGAAACAAAACAAAATTAATTTCAGAGGGACGCCGCTTTATTTGCTCTCGACAACGGAGGAAAACTTAAGGAAGACCCCCCTTGATGTCCGGCATCTTTAGGATATCTTTTTCGTTCACAGAATCTTGTATTTTTTAAACCCTAATATTTGAATGATTAGTGAGTTGTCCGATGGCAATGCCCATCGGCGGGACATCGACTAAGAATCTTGATAAAAACAACACTAGCTGACGATGTCCGGTTAATCACGTTTTATAGGGGTCATTAAAAATGTATTGATTAAAGTAAACTTATTTTAAATTCCCAAAAGGCTGCAGTCGTCGCATTTAAAAAATGTTGAGCAAAAACGTAATGAGCCAAGAGTCTCTGAATTTACAAAGAAATTGCGGAATTTCGTTGCACAAAGCGGCAGATGAAGTCAGTCGGTGGCGAATGCGAAACTGCCATAAATAAAACAATTAAAGAATAAAATACTGCCGCAAAAAAAGCAAAAGGGTTTGAGCACCGTTAATAGCTAAACCTTTGAACAAGGGAAATTGGAAACTTTTAATAGCGAACTTTAATAGCTTTTGCACGCAGAATTGCTTCCATTAATTGCACTTTGCAACGCGCGGTACATTATTATGAAATCGAGATTCTATACAATCATTAATTTTATGTTGTTTGTCTTATAGTCCCACAATACGGGCAATTTTCATTTTATAGTTCATTTGTAGAATGGCATTCCAATGTTGATTAACTTTTACATGCTCATACTTAAAACAACTCATCATCTCTCATTAGTAGCCATCAATGCATAGAACATAATGTTCGATGGATGCTATTAGACCGGCTTTACAATCAATTTCGAGTCAAAAACGAAGGCACAAATAGAACAACGAAGGATAAGGTAAATAAAAAACAAATAAACAAGAGAGAAAAAGGTCCCGGCATGTTATTTGGTATTGATAAATGGCCCTCCGGAGATGTGTGAGAAAAGGATGAAGCGAGGCCAGAACGAGATAGCTTACTAATGATCATGAAGGCAGGATGCATTCGGAGATAAAAGAAAGTGCTTCTTATCTTTTCCCAAGTTTGGTTTTCTTTAATGCACAAAAGCAGCTTTATAGGAATTGTTAAGTGCATAGGCGCCAATTCTTCACGGCGCATTTACTCAGAATGCGGTGCTTCACGGTTGTGAGATTTTGTTTGGACATCCGAACATTACGGAGGGACCGGCGCAATCGGTCACCCTCTGTCACGTGGCACAGTAAACGAGGTGTTAATTTCCTAGTTTCCCCTTTGTTAGTCGCACTAATTGAGAACCGTAAAAGGATTTTTCGGATGCTCGAAATAAGTGGAATGCACTTAGGAAAGAAGCTTTTTATGATATCCGATCAATTAGACAGGAATAGCATCCTGGAGACGGTTATTTTCTATTTTAAAATGAAAGTATTATAAAACATTTGTGATAACGACTTATTTGAATATAAATAAAAGAGCAAATATTTACCATCTCGATCGCATCGCGACACGGGAGCCGGTTTTGGTAAATCGCGATTGAAATGTTCCCGTCGCAGACGCCGCTGCGGTGGAACAGATCTTTATAATAAGATAACTTTAACGCCGCTTCGTTTGCTACGTACGTCCCTTCAATTTCATTACAGATGGTCGCAACAAGACGTCTATTCGGAGTATCAAGTTCCAAGACCATTTCTTCAGTACATTTCGCTCATTTCAGATCAGAGATTCAATTTAGATCTACCGCTTAGATATCTCAGAACATTCTCTCGACAGACATAGCCTCTGCTATTTCTGCAGTTTATCCGTTAAGGTCCTTACAAAATAGTTTTATAGCTTAATTGAAATCACTGGATTTAAATGATGGATCTTGGATGTAGACAACTTTCTCAGCATCGGATGGACGACCAATGGACGGGAATCAGTTTGGATTCAAACTTTTTATTAGGCTCTTGGTTGTTAGATTGTAATCATTAGTAAGCATTAGACGTTTATGGTTGAGATGCTCTTCAGAGTCGTAATTAAACATACAGTTTCTGTTAAAAACATTCGAATGGGTATCTGATGGTAATAACGTCTAACAAATGTTGCGACAACGGCTTTCTCCCGACGTTCACACGCTGTCTGACTCCGTTTTATCTAGTACTTTATTACGTTAATAATGATTGTGGCGCGAGCCGCAGCCGGTTTCTCTGCTATTCAGATTGGAGCTAACATAACAGGCTTTATGCTGATTGGATGACGCGGAAAAAGCAAGGCTGCTTTGCGGCCTTGTTGTCGCATTCCAATGTCCGCTATTTGAAACTATTTATTGGCTGTCAATTTGGACCGTTTGATTTGTGCCCACTGACATGGCCGCACGGGCCCCGGCCATCACAGTCGACAACTATTCTCTATTCAACAACTATTAATACGGCTAGACGCCGTCAGCGTCTTAAGTATAGATGCAGTGGCGTGGAATGTTAAACAGGCAGTCGACGAGGAGCTTAATAACTATGGACATTGGACATAGTTAATTTATATTAGAAGAATCCGGTTTATCATTTTGCATCAGCCGCCGCGATCGAATCCCAAGCCATCCTCTAATTGCACTCGCTGAATTATCTTCCGTAATGGATGTCCTCGTCGGTGCGTAATTATCCAATGCGGCGCCAGTAATCTGGCCGAGCCGCGGGCAATTTCCATCGGAATGCAAGTCAAGAGAAGCCTGTCTGTAGGTCGAGTAGCGTTTCTGCTGCTATCTCGTGCCGAGATCGAACCTCTAAAGCGGCTTAATGCTGCTGCACCTTGACAAATCGCACAGATAATCTCGCGTTCCAAATCGAGAGATTCACGAGCTTTTAGAAGAGCGTGCTTCTCTGAATGCGCTCGAGAGAGCGTTTTATCAAAGATAGCGGTACCCTGATACACCACGTCGAATAGTGTCGGCAAACTAGCGATAAATAAATGCAAACGTTATTATAGAGAGCGGACCGCGGCGCCAAAGACCTATCTGTTTGGAGCTCGAGTGCGATCACTTCCTCGGAAAATTGCTCATTGGAACGTTGGCAACACACCGACACTCGTTCTCGTGTTAACTACGTACTTACCTACTAACTAAATACATCATGTGTAGTTCCTTGTTGAGTTTACACGGTGATGTAATTCGATAGAGTCATTCGATTTACATTAACTTAGAATTACTATCGAAGTCCGTGTTGCTTTCGCATTGATATAATGGAAATGAGCTCGACTGTATCGGTCTCGGATTTCGGATGGTCGTTTTTCGTTTCTAATCTCTATTACAATGGTGTAGAGATGTCAATTGGTCGATAGTTATTTATGCTGGGTCTAAGTATAGGTACGTCGTTTATCAGTCATTCTGTGCACGTCCCGTCGCCGTCGAGGTTATCGAGGCGCTTTCACGCCACTCGAATAACATTTGAATAATGAAATGCGTTCGTCGAACTTCTAAAAGTGCAAAACGAAGCTAGCGCCGACACGGGCGTAGCGTGCCACCTGTTCGCCGATGACTCCGAGTATTCATCGCCTCGTTAAGTCACAATGGGCCACAGAAGGCCGACCGACTACCTGATCTTTTTTTCTTTATTGAATCCTCAGGCGCAAGACCTTTATCCGTTTCGAATGGGCTTCGATAGCCGCGATACCCCGATTCGATTGTGTAGGCGACGTTAATGTCACAACGACAATGTCCATCGTTTAGAGCTCTCGACTCGGGACGATTGTCGTCTTAAATCATAACAGCTCTCAATCATCTGGTAGTCTGTAAGGTCGACGCGTGCCGACTTACTGTAAACATTTCAACTCTTTTGTGTCCATACATACCCGTGCCGGTTGTGTAAAGGTTTTCATTAAAGATTTACCGTTTCAATTTATTGCGTAAACATCGGGCCACGTTTGTCGCAGTGTCAACATTTCGGGCAGGTGTTTAGCGACATAGGTGGTAAAGTGACAAGTGAAGTTTTCAAGTGTCGCAACATTGCTGTTGTTTTAAAAGTAATGTGAGAAAATGTTAACACCTTCGCTGTAGGGCGCGCGGTTCGTTGACTCGCTACACATAATGCAAGACGAGATTGAAACGTAACACAAAAAGCTTAATCAATATTTCAACAGCGACCGCATTCCGCACTTATCCGGAGCTTGGCTTTCGATTTAATTAGATCGTGAAAAAAGCAATACAAGATGTTATCTTACGTTTCAACAAGACATTTGTTGTTGTGAATACTTGTGAGCTCGCGTGCATAGGATATTATAGTGCGGAGACTAATATTCGCTTCACGACGATATAAATTATGCATATTAAATATGTATTTATG